AAAAAGCAACTCTGGGCGAATATTAGGAAGATTATCAACACGATTAACAGCTCGGATTTACCATCCCGCAAACTTGGAATGGCACAATTCTGCACCAGGCAGTATACCAAACAGATGATTGATATAGATGTACACACTGTGTTGATAATACTTCTGTAGTCATCCAGACGATCATACTCATAATCAACACGTTGATATTTCGATAAAAACACATCAACACACAGATAATGATATCCGTTCTCGTATACAACGTCCAATGGTGAAATGATGTTTCCACTTAAATGGAAGTACGAATGTTCATCTGATGCTTCACTCAACACATCTCTGATGAAGCCTTTTCTGTCAGACTCGTTTCCGCTGTATTGTACCCTCACTGCAGGACAAGGTAAATCATTGTCAACTGAAATCATGTCCATTAAATATAACGGGTTACTAAGAGAAATATTAGACTTACATGACATATTTTCTATATTTCCTACATGTGTTATAATGCTACCATCTGAATCCGTTCGAGTGTAGTTTTTAACAAAACTGGCAATCAACGACCTTTTAGAGTCAATGGAAGCATCAATGCGTATTATTTTTTGCAATGGAAGAACGATGCGTATTATAGAACAAGCATTTCTAGTCTCCAAATATGTTCCTAGAATAATTTGACCTGATTTGGAATTCGCAGAATTAAAGCCTTCTGATAAAATTGTACCATTGCTCAAAATATTTATTAAAGAATCAAATAAGTCATAAAAGTTAAGAAACATATTTCGTCCCACATCCATTTCTTTGTTTGCTTCAAACAAGAGATCCAACAAAACACCGTTCGTTGTGTGTGTTATATTTACACATTCACCGCCGGATGGCTCTGCGAAGGCGGGGCAGTACAAACGCTGACAACCAACCTGTTGGGAAATAAACACAATATCAGGATTATAACTTTGTTATGCTTTAAATAATATATATTTATTAAACGATTCATTAATCTGTTTGCTACTTTTGGAAATGCTGTGGAAATAAAGATGTGTTACACTTCTCATTTCAGGGGCGAATTGTTTTTTCAGTTGTTTTCGTGCCACTACTTTTCAAATCGATGAAACTAGCGCCAAAAAACGGAAAATACGAACAAAGGACACATTTCCACGACGAGACACTTGAAAAAGAAGAAGGATGATCAAACTATACGTTTCTGAGAGTGAGAGTTTTCTGTTTCATCGACGGCACCCATCATGTACGTTAAATCCAAGTGATGGAATGGTATCACAGCTAGGGATCGTGCAGAGGCAACAAATACTTATGATCATTATACAAACCTGTACTTTTATATCATACCCAGAAACTGCGACAAAAAGGTGTTGATGGTATTATTTTACTTGTACATAAGTAAAATCAGTTCACATATTTGTTGATCAGCATTTGAAATTGATCACGGCAGTCACTCTTCAATACCGAATAAGCTTGGGATGTAAGAACGATGCTACCAAGAAAGGTAAAATTAACGCTCGGAAGGTCAAAATCTTCTCGCTTATTGTACAGCTGAACAGTAAGTGTAAGCCGTTCCTGTTAGTTATGTTGTCAGTAAAGATCGAAGTTAATGGCTGAAGTAGAAGAAGCAGAAGGTCTGTTATGTTCTTGATTTCGAGCTCAGTAGGGTATATATGATCAATGCGGTCGCTTAATTGGTACTTCAGCCCCTTATTGGTATATATCAGTTTAATAAAATTGAAAAAAATGGCATTTGTTTTGTTATTACTCCTTATAAACTCATTAAATCAGCCTCGTATGTAAACAAAAACAAATATGTCAGAAGAGGGGAATTGAATGTGCAGATATTTTGAAAGCGGACTGATGACATCATATCAAATGTAACAGTGCAACAATGGACACGCATATAATTTATTGAATTTAACTGTCCTATTTATTTGTATAACAAATGGTAATGGCTAGTAAATATACATCTGAGCTTTTAATGTTATAATCATTTTGCTATGAACTGTACTTCTAAATATCTTTCGTTGGAGAATTATAACTTTCAATAGATATTCTATTAACACTATATATTGTTGGCTGCATTTTAGTTAACATATACACGGTTAGAGAATTAGTGAAAAGGGATATCATTGAGGAGTTAAATATAAAAGTTGAAAAGATCGAGTCCCGAGTTTTCACTCTCGAAATGTCAAACGACGCTATGACAAAACGCATAGAGTATCTGGAAGAAAACGTAGAGAGAAATGAAGATACAGTGGCTGAAGTCAGCTTTACTGCAGAGAAGGCTCGGTATGACATCAACGAGCTCGAACAGTACACTAGGAAGTCAAGTGTCCGAGTGTTCGGCCTGGCGGACGAACAAGACGAGAACATGGAAAAAACGTGTCGGAAGATTCATAGTTTCCTGAAATCCGATCTGAACATGGATATCGAGAATACAGATATTGACGTAGCTCACAGGTTGGGCAAGTACAGATCCAATAAAGCAAGACCTATCATCGTCAAATTTATGTGTCGCCGTACAAAAATAAAATGTATCCAGAAACGTCACAAGCTCAGAGGAAGGGGTAAAGTTATCAGGGATGACCTTTCGCGGGAAAACAACACTTGATGGATAGTTTATCATTCGATTATCGGGTCAGTGATAAATGGAGTGACAATGGTAAACTATACGCAAGGCTCTCTGCAGACAAGACAGTCCATATAATCCACCCATGCATAGACTTGTATACAGGTCTTTCAACATGTAAAAACAAGTTGGTAATCTCGTTGATGACATTACGTTCAAAATAGTTGTCACTCCTGTCGCCAATTTTTCATTCCAACGATAGACAATAAGAGCGGAGGAGTGATAAATTATATATATACTGAAATTATTCACATATATTCTAGTTACTTCGTATAGTCTTTACCAATGTGTGTGTGTGTGTGTATACATCAGAAAAAGTAAATGATTCGATAATGAAGTGAATAATAATATCAAAACTAGAAAATATCCAGGCTATGATTACAGAACAAGTATGGGAAATATTGTTAAAAAATACACATGTAATGCTCCAAGCGCAGCGTTACACCAGTGATTTCTATTTAGATTTTAATTCCAATGTGTGCTGATCTTCATTTACATGCCTCAAATTTCATTGTAAATAAACTTGTTTATCATTAGGATGTTATGCTTGCAAATACATCTGTGATTGGAAGATATTTTGTGAGACGGATTTTGTACATAGTTGGACCAATTCGAACGCACCCAATGTAAGTCTGTATAGTATACATACGTACGAGTCCGGAATATCGACTAGTAGTGAAAGCAATAACGATGTAAGTGTATATCGTGTGGATGCCACCACTACTACACGAAACTATATGATAAAACAAATTATAACATCTATTACATAGAGTGTTATTTCATTTATCAATAAAATCTGTCTTATCTACAGAAATCACAAAGATATGTTTGTCTATTTTTTACAGAACGCATTTTGCAAACACAGATGTCTCTGCCCAATGTATGTGCTTGTCTTAATGACAGGAATATTTTTGCCTTGTTTTTCCAGGTAAATTTACGCAATGTTTATTTGTGTGGATGAAGGTATAATTATATAACATAAAAGAGTG